ATTTTAAATCGAATCCAATCCAATGCCATTAACACACCGGCTTGTAATCAGAATTCTGACCGATTATCTATTGTCCTGCTGAACGTTTTGAACTCAAAAGACGAATCTAGCCTTAATAGATGATTGCAGCATTAATCAAACTCTTAGTGAGAATCTCGTTTTTATGACTATTTAAAGTTTAGGTACCTGCAAGATTAGGTAACTAGTAGAACTAATGTTCGTGGTTAAAAACTTATTTACTAAAGCTATACAGCAGGTTTTTGAACCCATTTTATAAATTTAATCAAAATATTCAGGTAGATTTCCAAAAACAGTTGTGATTCCTAATATTTACTAAGGTTACAAGTACAAAATAATAAAAAATATATCTTAAAAAGTTGAAACTTTTCCATCCAGAGGCACTGACATTGATCATTACTAAGTACATGCTCTTCTTACATCCAACAAACATTCATACATTCATTCGCCTTTCTTGTAATCAGTAAAGATAAACTTTTTTTGAGGGTAAGTTATGATGTACGATGTTGAATATCGTAAATAAATAAGATATAAAATCCATTCCATATGTATGAGTGATAAAGTGAAAGAAGAAATATGAAATACGTCGGAGATTACAAGACGAAGGAAAAATAAAATTGTGAAAATGTCCATCATATGTGAAAATTATCAATGGACCATTCGCACGCATTCCATCATATATTCATCCTACAATAAGTCTGTGTATATAACATACAGTCGAGGAGCAGTAGAAAAATAAATAAATAAATATTTTGCGGGAAGCTAAACAACATTCTTTTGTGAAGCTTAAAAATATCTATCGTATGTCTCTATGGGTATATACGTAAAGTAACGACACGAAATAAAAGCAAAAAAAGTTATTTTTTTTTTCTCTACATTTTCTTACTCACTCACTCATGTCATTAATGAATGTTCCATAAGTAAATTGAGTGGCGAGCTATTTATAGCCATCGGGAAAAATAAAATAAAAAAATAAGTAAAGTATAGAATTAAGCCAAGAAGCCAAACATGAGGGAAAAAAATGAAGATAATTTTTTTGTATTTACGAATGAATTGTGAGAGACACAGTAGCGACATACACAACATATGACACGAATAGAGGTCAGTCCTTGAAATATCTCATTACTTTCCATTTTTTCATCTCATCCGCTATCAGTTTAAATATATTTATGGGGTCAAAACCTTTTCGTCTTTTTATAATATTTATTTTTTTTATGACCGTACGGTAGAGTGGAAAAAAAAATCTATGCGATTTCTGGTATTTTTTTGTCGATTATGATTAAATCGTGCACAGACAGACTTGGACTCTACTCGTTAATGTGGGATGACTTGTGAGAGCATTTTCGGAGTATGTTTGTGATTGATAAGAAATGAGTTTTTTTGAAAAACTTTATTTGAGATTCGAACCTGAAAATTGATTTGTGAATAACTTATTTCACAATTAGTCAAGAGTCTGCGAGTCGACAAGAGATACTTAATGTTTTACTGCTGCAAAATAATTTTATTATAATTAATTATTCAATTTGAGGTAAATAGAAATTAATACTTTAACTTTTGTCTAGTGACACCTGAGTTATTTGATATAAACTTGGCGCCATGAAGATAAAAAAAAATTCGGCAAATCAAGATTTTAAAGCGAAATTTACATATTTGTATGTAATAAAAATTTAAGTTTTAAAACTTAGCATTTTGTGAAAGATTTGTGACAATATTTTGACGTTTGAGAGAATTTATGGTTTTAGTAAATGTCGTATTATTTTAAGAGTGAATAATTTTAAGTGGATCAAAAAGGATTATGGATCGTTCGACAATGACGTCTTGCCAGGTGCGTAGCCAGGAGGGTCTCATACCCCTTTTAAGCGTTTTAGACCGTGCTCTCGCTGCGGTTCAAAACGTTTAAGGAGGGGGAGGGGACAAGACCCTCCTGGCTACTCGCCTGCGTGAAGCATTATAATGTCCCATAATGATGTAATTAGCTTAAGTTCCAACGATCCAGTGAGTTTAGAGAATGTATTCTAGAAATAGGGTCGACTGTAGACGCCACTATAAATAGAAAACAATATGAGTCCTTAGTATAAAGTCATGCATATCAGAATTTTCAGACTGATCACAAAATGTCAGTCGAAGCCACAGATTTCAATCAGTTACTCATAAAAATCTAATCATTCACAAAAACTGCTGACAATTCACATCAGAATTTCCGGAAAAAATTCCACAACTTGACAACCAGAAAAAAATTCATTGAATCATAAAAAAAATAATTCTCGACTGTCTACAATATTTTTTTATTTTCACGCGAGATAATCAGTCTACTTGCATTCAATTTTTATTCCTCAATTCCAAAAGTTCAATTTTTTTTTTCGTGAGAATTCAATTCCTCTCAAACTCTTCTTCTTCCTAATCATTCATAAAAACTGATCAGCAATAAGTGAAAATGAACAAATTCAATGAAAAACATATTTTTTTGTGTGATTGAATAGACTGAGTAGGAGATATCATTAGTGTGTACGAGAATGAATAAATGTATATGGCATGCATGTACATAGAGTAATTTTTTTTTTCTATATTTCTTCTTTCTCCATAATAATTCGTGAATGATTCATGCATGTGACAAGTCACAACATGCCGCCGTTAAACGGAAACTCCATTCATATTTGGTCAACGATAAAATTTTAGTTTGGAAACAGTAAGGGCGATGTGAGATAGAGAAAAATAAGGAGTGACAGAGAAAGAATGAATGGGGGCGATAAAGAAAATGAATAAAAAAAAATAAATGTGTAGAAAAATATTATTTTTTTTGATATTTACTAAAGTCAATGAAAATTCATTGATAATGAATACTCGTCTCTCCAACTAGTCTTTATAGACTGTTCTGATAATGAAGATAAGATAAGGAAACAACAATCATTCATGGGAGAGGTTTGGATGTTATGTAGCTTAACTCTTCTCACCTGACTGACTCGTCACTTTACAATACCTGTAACAAATGTTATATATTTCAAAGAATAGGAATGGGAGTGCTACATAACTCCAAAATGAACCTCATAATGTCACTATTTCCTTGATAAAAATTTCACTAATCAAGTCGGAGAAATGGAACAGATAAAATACGGAACGATATTTAATGAATTTTACTGATAAGAATACACAAATACAGCCATTGTTTATAGCCCCGTAAATTAATGAATGAAAATAAAAAAAACTAGAATCAATTTCATAATACGTCTATGTCTCATACTCTCCTACTGAAAACCTTTTGTCGTCTATATTCATGAACAAAAGCGATAAATGCAAATAAATGCTTACCAAACATGGAAGTAGAAGAAGTAGGAGAAATGTAAATAAAATTCTATTGTCGCTTTTTGTGCTTACGATTAAAGTAATTGTAAATGATATATACATAGGCAGGCAAGCTTTAGTGTTGTACAGAAATATATTTGCATTCATCAACAGAGATTTACAAGTCAGAAGAGAAATTGAATTGATTTCAATTTTCAATAAGAACTTTCTTATGTCGTGGATTGTATATTAAGCACAAAAGTTGAAAATTTTCATGTTTGGTCAATATTGAAATTTTATTTACAAATATCTGTTGAAAAAGAACGGAAATTTAAGTAAATTGAAGCACAGAAAATTTAAAATTCAAATTTTTTGATGTCATGCAGAGAGAAAAATTGGAACGGATGCATCCTTTAGTGGCGTTTGTGTGTTTTAAAATGCATCCACGTTTTTCAAATCTATTTTGTTTTTCTTCACTTCTCAAGCGACATTATAATGAACCTCATCGTTTGGCAGAATAAGCTTTGATAATTAATAGCTTGCAGTTTGTAAACATTTGATGTTTACAGTATTTTTAAGTATGTATTGCAGTAGATTGCAATTGGGGAGGAATATTAATATATTTATGGCGATTTTTGATTAGTTTATTTATTGAAAAAATATTTTCTTGGATATTTTAGCATAAACTTGAATATTGTCGATTAGTTTGAAGCTAGTAAGGTTCGATATTGTCCAAATAACTGAAGCACTTGGTCACACAATCAGAAATTTGATTTTTAAAAACTATTGAATTTTGAACAATTAAACGAGATTCTATTTGGAATCAACTGCCCCACCCGGTAGCCGGGTTGATAGTATAATTAGAACCAAGCAGCTAATTGAACTCAGTTAATGGAACCAATGATAAATATCACAAATAATGACAAATTTCTATTGGATACCACAAAATTCTTAAGAATTATTCTAAATTTATATTGAGCAAAATACGGAGAATCAACAGAAACTAAAACATACACAACATCCATCGACTAAACCAAAAATAACAATTTCCATCCTCAAATATTCTCTTTTCTTTAATCCAAATTGACTTCAGACCGTATGATACATCTAGCTTTTCAAAACATTTCAGCAAAAAAAAAAAAGAGATTAAAGCGAAATTTAAGTTGATGACATTAGACTGTTACACAATTCTATACGCTGTGTGCCAGAAGCAAGTTATACACATGTTTCGGTAGAAACAAGAAAAGTATTGAGAGAAATGTCGGATGGGAAAAACATTTTTCTCTCAACGTGGTAACGTAAAAGGCACAATACTCTTCTTTTTTTTTCGTTGAAATAACAAAAAGTTCTATTTAGGCCAACGTCGACCTTGGCAATGACATTGAGTGGATTTACACAAACTATTTTGTAAGCACTTAAAAGAATCAATGCGGTGCCATGTTTTTCCATTCTAAATTTAAATTTATTGTGAAAACGAAATTTGGTAGCTACCGAGAATCACGAAAACACTTTCGTGCTTAGAGCACTAGAATTTTTATTTTACTCGCTAGACCGACTGCACACACAGATGACGATGAGAATTCTAATTGATTCTAATTCCTACCTTTTTTTTGTTTATTTTATTTGCAGCATACAAAATTTTCGTGAAAAATAAAGAATTTAGTTCCAAACAACTTGTTAGTGCATTTGTGCACTGACTTTAAATGCTTTCAGCAGTTGAGCTTCATTCCGGTGGAGGATCCGGTTTTTATCCATCATTTACTCGTCAACCAGTGTCAAGTGACGTTCAATTTGTACCACCGATGTCGGGATCCACAGAATTTGCAAGACCAAAGCCTAAAATAATGAATGGTCTTTCACCATCGACGGCGTCACCTCCCCATAAATACTCACATCATCATGAACAAAATGGTCCTGTAAATTTGGCTGTAAATCATCAAGCGTCACGTCAAAGCATGACGCACGAAAAAGAGTCTTCTGAGAAAGAAATTGATGTTGTTGGATTGGGCAACACGAGCTCATCATTTGCCACAACAAGTAGCCCCAGATTATCAACATCATCATATCCTACTGGTCTTGGAAGTAACGCTTATCAAGCACTCAATTACAGTTTCTATGGAAATCGCTATAGGTAAGAAATGAAAATTTTTATGTCCAAAAAAAAGCAGAGATGAACTAAATTTCTTGTTATTTTTTCTAGTGCTCCAATATTTCCACATCGTTCTGCCTACTCACAACATCATCCAAATCGTCCAACATATTTACCATCACAGTTGGAAGCATATCCATCTTATTTGTCTGCTGCTGCTGCAGCCGCAGCAGCCTCTTATGGTTCAAGTTCATATTCTTCATCATCTTTAACACAATCCAGTGCAGATACATTATCACAAAATATCCAACACAAATCAACAAACGAAAGATCTCACTCAATGTCATCAATGACAAATGGACATCATCAACATCATCCATATCCAATGAAAGAGAAGGAGCCAAAATCAGCGGGTCCACGTTTAATTGGAAATGAAGATACTAGAAATGTTAGTAGTAGTAACAACAATAATAATAATAATAGTAATAATAATGGCAGCAGTAACAATAATAACTTTAAAGTGCCTTCCGGCAAAGAAGGTTCTCTTAAGCACCGTATTTTGACAACAACACGTCCACATGAAAACAGTAACAGTAAACATGGTACAATTAATCATCCTGCTAATCGGTAAGTAATTTAGGAATTGGAACTTGAACATCTGTTGCTAATTTTTAATAATTTATTTTTTTTTTCATCATCCTACAACAGTTCACCGATAAGCAGTAATTCGTACTTGAATTTTACACGTGGATCACTTATTGAACTTAGTAATGGTTCATTGAGACGCGTTGAGGATTTAAGAACAGAGGATTTTGTTATGTCAGCTGAAAAGTCTCAAGATCTTCAACTTGCTGATTCGACAGTTGTTAAAATTTTACCAGCAATCAACAATTATGTAATGATTACATTCAGTTACGATAATAATCGATCAAAGGTGAGTGATTGAGTGAATGCTTTGTGCGTGCTGAAAATAAAGTTTAATATCAAATTTCCTCTCGTTCACATTTTAGGTTGATATTGAAGCAAAAATGGAACATCCATTTTTCGTTTACGGACAGGGATGGGCATCATGTGATCCAGATGGTTCAATGCAGGCTTTTGGCTTGAAATGTCAACGCTTGCAGGTCGGAGATGTTTGTATATCATTAAAACCAAGAGAACAAAAGTCACCGCCATTAAGTCCAATGGCACAGAAAAGACCAAGAGAAATTTTCCAGCCACCAGCAAAAGAGCATCAGCATAATCAGCATCAGAATCAGCATAATCAGCATAACCAGCATCAGCATCAACACCAGCCAGAATTGATGCCTCAAAATCTCTCACGTCGTCCATCAACGATTTCAACGACTGCAACCGAAACAGCAATGACAAGCAGTCAAATTGGACAATATTCACCATCGCTTTATAATCTCCAAATGTCACTCTTTGCTGCCGCAAGTCAAGGTCGAATACCTTCATATGCACCGTTCTTAAATCAGGATGATGTATCAGCTCATCTCCAATCGCATGATATAAATACCTCATTGAACAATAATAATTCACCTGACAAACTGCCTATGCTCATGTCAAAGAATGCATCTATTGCTGATGACTACGATGATCTTCAATCGCGAAAGCGACGCTGGTCTGCGCCAGATATTGATTCCGATGAACAACAGACACCGCGCAAAATTTCGAATTAAATTTTTTTTTAAAAAAAAAACACTTTTTTTATACTTTATAAATTTTTTGAATACTTAGTTCATTTTTATTATGCTTTTTGGAGTTTCTAAGTAAAGAAGAAGGAACGACATTGATAAATAGAGAAAAAAATGATGATAATGAAAACGTACTAACGCACCAGAAGGAAGATATGTACATAAAATGTAACCTCAGCATAAACAAAAAAAAAATTATAAATATTGTATGTATAATATACACAAAGTGATCTCGCGCCAAGTGGAAATTTTCTTTTCTTATTATGTTCTTGTATCTTACAACCCAAACCATCCATTGTCTGAATGATAATGTCAAACCAGCTGCTGTTGATATGGTCACAATACAGAACACTAGTAGAATATTTTAAGAAAAAACTAGCTTCGTTCTGTAGCGAACATTAGGTAGCATTACAATATAGATCCAGCAAGTCTATTTAGCAGAGTAGCATCAAGACGCAACAACAGCAACTAAGTTGACAGTGTCATTCGTGTTAAACATTTGTTCTATATCTACTACGAGAGTATAAAGAAGAGATTGGGCATTTTTATAGACAAAATATAAATATATTTGTTATGGACAGTAAAAGTAATTATTTTGATACATAAAAAGTGATGATCAAAAAAAAAAAATTATTGGAAATGAAACGAAAAAAAAAAAGTTTCAAAGAATTTTTGTAATTAATGTAATTAGACGGGAGGCAAATTGGATTTGAAATGAAAGTTGTCAAGTACTCGTGAAAAAAACAAAAAATTAAATGTCAAAAAAAGATGAAACGTGTACTTTGCTCTTATTTGGGAATTGTGTACAAAACTTACTATAATTCTTCTCTTTTTTGTAGAATCTGAGAAATGAAGAAGAAAATATTTTAGTAAATTAATTAATGACTAGCCATACACAAAGATGAAAAGTAAATTTTCACCACAAATAGTATGATGAAAAATATATAAAATTAATTAATTATTGAAGTGAAAAATAATAAATTAAATGCTACCTCCTTTCTTAACGACACTTTTAGATAAATGAAATGAAAAATAATTACACAGTCAACGTCCAATGTACGTAAAATTAAAATTGACAAGAAAAAAAAAAACTTATTATTGGAATATGAAAAATCGTTATATATTAAATATATGTCATCATGAATCTTTGTAAAAAGAATTTTTAAATGAAATTTTTTGTGCTCTGCGGTGGGAGCCTTGATGTTGGATTTTATTGTCTTGTCTAGTTGGGAACTTAGAATAAATCTAGTAATTTTACTTACTTGGTCTGATATTGCAGCTGTTGAATTCTTCAACCTTTTATTTCATTTGTGTGAATTTTTAAAAATTTTAATTTTTTAAGACATTTATGTCGAAAAAGTGAAACTATAAAGGAATTGGATATTTTTACTATATTTTAGAGCAGTGTTGTCCATACTGTGTGCCACGGCACACTAGTGTGTCGTAGAATTTTTTAAAACCAAGAACCGCACGCTGTGTGGTTTTGGACATGGCTTACTATCAAGGTGTGTCGTGACTCAAAAAGTTTGGACAACACTGCTTTACAGGCCTTATAACAAGATGTAATCTAGAATATTTGAGAATATGGGTAATTAGTATGACTAGGATATCCCTTAACAACTTGTTCCAATGCATTAATGGAGGATATTGAATATCTAGTAATAAAGAGGAACCAGGGCTGGAGTAGATAGCACCTAGCAAACGACTCTATCCAGTATTCCTCCATATCAAGTAAAGTTACCTCCTTATGATTATTCCAGCTGCTTTAAAAAATTTCTTCTTAATTTTAACATCCTGATTGCTCAGGGATTTATGGATCTCTTTACTATATTCAATCTTTCAAAGATCTCATCCCCAAAACACCCCAAAACTAACTCAACAAACCCACCATCAAGAGATGATCCCACCCCAGAAATTGGATAAATTAAAAATAAGAGAAAGATTCTGACAGATTTTAAATGTTGAAAGATCTCAAATGAAACGAATTAAATAAAAACCGAAGAAATTTGTGTTTATTTTTTCAAATCATAACCTTATTGGACAAATTTAAAGATAAAAAAAATTAAATTAAATGTTGAATATTGAAGGAGCAAAATAAAAACAAAAAATTGAATTATTTTCATAAGAAATTATTAAATAAAATAATAAAGAAAACAAAGAAGAAAAAATAAATTGAAAAATGATGAAAAATTGGTGTCTTAAACAAAATGAATAGATATATATTTCATTATGATGAATAAAACAAATTTATTGTAAGCAGGGATTGATGAAATTGTAAGGGTGAAATGATTCGCTATGTTTAGTGGTTTTGGATTATTTTGTGGCAATCAAGTGAAGTTCTTCATTTTAAACTCAACTCTCAAACACTTTGTCAATTACAATCGACACTGCCCACTTCTTGCAAAAAAGTTAAGCTTTAATCTAGAATTAATTGAATTTTTATTTCTAAGAAAAAAAACATTTTCATTTTGTAAGGCCATGCCAGCCACTTTTGACATCTTTAAAAAGTCAATAAAATTGATTGAGAAGATTTAAGGATCTAGAGCTTATAATTTGATCTTTGGTTTACTGAGAAGCTTTTCCATGTAAGCAGAAGCTTTGTTCAAGAAGGTGCTAGTTGGAAAGGTGCAATATTTTTGTCAAAAACATAAAAGAAGTGGCGGCTTTAAAGAACCTTATTGTGATAGTTTACCAGTTTCGTTCGCATTTTAGAGATTTTGGAACATTTCAAATAAAGAATTTTTTTTTCATAGAAATTTTTCAAGGCGTAGAAATCCTAGGGCCAATTAAAATGGAAATGTGAGATCCCTTTTACATATATTCCTGATGCATTTGATGAATAATTTCGGGATTTAAATGGGATTTCACATTTCCATGTTTATTAGCCCAGGGATTTTTTAGGATTTATGGGATTTTTCAAAATTTTTGGGATATTTCAAGATTAATCCTAAGTTTCCACTCCTTGAAATTTTTTCATTACGGGAGGGAGGGGGGGGGGGGGGGGTGCTGTAACGTAATAAGTTAAGATCCCTTTGTGGTATTTCTACAAATATCTTGTAATAACTTTAGTTCAGTGTTAAGTGAAGATAAATCTGGGAATTGTGCATTGACATTCAAATTAGAGTTTTTTATGATCTTAGATTTCGCATTTTTAAGATTTATTAAAATTTCTAAGAAAAGCAACATTCATAAAGTCCTAATTTTGAAAATTCAAAAAAAAAATCTGATGCTAAAGAAAAATTCTTCCAAAACTCAACTTAGTGGATTGCTTCACTCGTGCAAATTTGTCATTTCAATTTCCCAAATGTGTCTGATAATGTCGGATTTGTAATGGAAATTTTGTGAAAATTACTTTTTCTTTACATGTCACACTTGTTAAATCTTAATTTCCTTTTTTCGTTATGCAAACTTTTATCCAAAGATACATGAGCCGGAATATGTTTATGAAAGGAAGTTACACACTTTATGGAAATTGAAAAATTTTAAGGAATTTAGAACAAATTTGTTTCTCTTTAAGTTGCCTTTTAATTACTCCTTTTGCAACCCATTTATCGTGTAAACCTTTCTGGATCTCATATAGGAGATATCCATCCCCTGCAACTATATACAAGAAAAACTTTTCATCAAACTTTTCATGACATAAACGATGTTTTCCAAAAAAAAAGAAAAACAGAGACAAAAATTATTAATATTATTAAGGGAACTAGCGACAGGGTTGTCACAAACACAAAAAAAAATTAATTAAAATGCTAAAATGTATTTTCCTAAAATGTTAATTTTTATATGAATGCTACAAAGCAAAAAAAAATAATAAACATGTTGTCAAAAAATGAATTATGTACTTGGCACAATTTGCTCGTGAATGTACTCAAGAAAAAAAAAATTATGAAAGATGTAAGATTTGTGTCTGCATTAATCGTTTTTAGGAGAAATTTACTTGGTTATGATCGAATTTCTTTTCTACAGAGGATATAAAAAAAACTTGTATGGAACGTAAGGCTTTTTTAAAAATGGACTGATTTTTGATGAAATTAAAAAAAAATTTAAATTGTGACACATAACCATTCACGATGATGCGCCATGTGACGTGCTGATTGTTCCTTGATGTTTACTTTAAACATTTTTTTTTATTTTTTTTTTGGAAATAACAAGTAATTGGATAATAATCACTACCAACGATTTTCATACAAACTTTATTGCCATCCTGAATAACTACTAGTTAAATAAAGATGAAAAAAAAATTGAAAAATGTAAAATTTATAGATATATATTGACAATTGTTTGTGAAAATGTGATGATGCAAATTGGCAGATGATAATCTTCTTCTTGGCTGTTGCTTTAGATTCGTTAATTTTGTTCTTCCATGAAAAAAATAACTCTCTTTTATCGTCCTTAATTATTATTATTACTATTATTATAATTACAATTATTATAACTATTATTATTATTATATTTTTAAATCAAGAAATAGAAAGAACAGTTAAATAAAATGAAGGAAAAATCCTTTTCATAAGTTCAAAGAAATTTTAATTTTTTTTTGAATCTTTTCCTGCAAGTCTGAAATTTTTGTTTATCTTTTTTTTTGCAAATTACGCTACGGAAAGTTTTAAGCAAGGCGGGATTAATTACGAAAATCCAAGCACGTCTTGTTATCAAACTTCGAATTTCGCTTGGTTCTGGCCCATGAGTAGATGTCTTCAGTTAAAGAATCTAGTATTTTTATTAAGGGTAAACGAAATCTAAGTTCATTCTAGTCTAGCAATTGATTTTTTGAGGTAATGAAGCAAAGATTTTTGGCTTTTTATTTTTTTTTATCTCGAGGATAGTGCTTCTCAAACTGTTTTGGTCCACGGCACACTTTTTTAACTTTATAATTTGGCCAGAGAAACTGAATGGTATCGAGGGACACTTAAAGATTTTTATAACTTTCATCAAGTCATAAATTTTGAAAAACTAGAGTCAATTTTTGATTTTAAAATTATTCGTGACGCATAGTTTAAGAACCACTCTTGCACCAAGAGAACCAGAGAACAAAAGTTTTTTTTTGATCCGCGAAGCATGGTTTGAGGAGCACTGGTCTAGGTAATAGCAAAATCTATTGAAAAAAAGCTAGTTTTAAAAGGCATAAGTTTGGCATGTGTTCTTATTAGGATATAGACTTTTCAGAAAAAATCCAGAACTTCTCTAGTTATTTTTGATATTTCTGAATATTTGTGATAATTTTCTTTATTATTTCAATGAAAATGATGAAATTGCATCATAGCTCAGGTAAAAAGACTTGCTAGAAAAGAAACATCCATCATTGCATCTCGAATTCTTTCAAAACCTAATTAAATCTATTTTTTGTCGCAATTATAATAAATTGAAAGAAAAAATAAATTGAGAAAAAAAAATGTTTGATATATTATTGTACGATAAATGAAAGAAAAGTTTCTAATGAATACTTGTTGCAAACAAGAAAGATTAAGAAAAGAAAACAAAAACAAGGAAAAAAGATAATGATGAAAGATGAAAAATATTTTATTGAACTGAGTAAATGTGAAATAAATGAAAATGATAATTTTTGTAAAGCTAAACAAAAAACACAAAAAAACAAAGAAAAAAAATTATTGTTTTGTGGAAAACTTTTTCACATCTAAATTGTTTAACTGATCAAGTTCCTATTGTATTGATTGTTTAAGCAATTTAATTTTTAAAAAGTTTTCGAAAAAAAATTGTCATGAAAATAAATGGAAAATATTAAAATTTTTATTTGCTATGAATTTCTTATTCATTTAGATCATCATATTACATTGAATACAATTAATAGATGAGTAAGACACTTTGCATGTCAACTGATGTTAAGCGTCTTACTCGCTGGGTTTATCGCATCAGCTATGTTTCCATTATAGAAATATGTTAAATATTGGAAGCTTAAAATTAATTAACTTAACCTCGACCAAAGATGTCAACCTCGGGAATTAATTCAACTGATGCTGATCGACTTCTTGATCTGTTTGATGATTGAGATTGTGATCCAGAGTCATCGACTAAAAATTTTAAAGAATGTTGTTATTAATATTAATCAAATTTCCAGGCATTCCTTCAACTTACCATATTTTGACGAATCATCTCTTCTAGGTTTTTTCAACATTTTAGTAATATCAACCTCACTGAATCCTTCAATCATCACTTTCTCCTCTGTGGTTTTTGCTTTTAGTCTAGTCTTTGATAACGGACCAGGTCGCTTGGGTGGTGGCTCATCTTCGTCTACCTCTTTTGTACTTTTTGCTGGAAACCGAACTCTTCTTTTCTCTAATGGTGGAGTCACAATATCAGGTATAATTGCTTCAGCTGCTACTAGCGACGATGGCTTTTTTAATATTGATGGTTTCACTGTTCGTGTTTTACGGGCATTAGGATTGTAATCTACATCATCAGCGTCATCCTTTTTCCACGTTCTTCCTTTTGGTCGATGATTTGATGTTCCGGCTTGTTGCTCCTCTGCATAGTCATCTCCATTTAACAAGTGCCTTGAAGTCTGTAACATAAAATCACCAAAATCAGGCGAGGAATCACGATTTGTATGAAGCGCATTTGATTCTTTTTCATAAGGTGCTGGTGAATTATATGGTGATAATGAGTCATATTTTGCTTGTGGCTCTGATCTTCTTGATAGAGTCTTTACAATCTTTAGAGGAGCTGATTTTGGAGGCGATAATGTTTGTTCACTCGCTTGTGCCAGCAGCAGCTTCTTTCTTTTATAATATGAGATTTTCTTAGGAGTTGATTTGTGTAATTTCAAATGATTTTTGTATGGCTTAACGTATTTGAAGTATTTGTTGCAGATGCGGCAATGAAACTCTCCATGTCGTTGACCCTTTTTCAATTCAAGACCATTTTCCACCGCATTACTAATTTGCTTAGTATAATCAAAATCCATTGGTTCCATTGGTGTAAGTAATGAATTTTCATCATCTTCATCCTCATCCTCATCATCGGCATGTTCATATAAGCTGCTGTTAATTTCATTAAGTGGATTGTATGGTGTGATATCTGGCTCTTCCGGTGGAATTAGTCCACTATGACTTATGATTTGCTTCAAATATTTATCCGACTCGTGAGATTTCCACTTAAACTCGTGAACAAGCTGAAGTTTATCCAAACATCCTTGGCATATATTTTTTGGTGATATTCCTTCATCTTGTAAGTTACAGTTCAAATCAACACAGTATTTAATAAGTTCAGGAATGGATTTGGTCGAGAAATGTAGCCTATAATCAAAATTTAAATTTATCGATCAAATTTTTTTCAATTATTTAACACTCACGTTGTATCGAATGGAATCAATGATGTTGATGATTCCAAACACAGTCGGCACAGTTCAGAAAGCTAGAACGAATAAGTAGTATTGTCATTTTCCTTCAAAAAGCTCAAAAATATTTTAAATTTTTAATATCTTACATCTTCTATTTCCATTTTCGAAATGATGGATGCAGAACTTTTTTGCTTTATTGTTAGACGCAGAAACTTTTTCGCATCATCAAAATATAAACAACAGCATAAGAATAAGTTTCTGAAAATTTTATATCTGGATTGTTTACGCTTATCGTGAACGCATTCAGTTGCTATACAATCTCAATGAAATTTTATTTGCTCAAGAAAATGAAATTTGTCAATGAATTTAACTCAAAAATACAATTTTAGGGACAATTTTGGAAATAAAAACATATCAATATTAAATCTAATTTTTGTAGCTCATTTTCTTTGCCTTTTTGGTCGCTTTTCCTTTTCAAAGTCTTCATCATCCTCAAAAATTGGCTCATCATCCCTCCTTTCTTTCCTTGGTGCTTCCTTAGCTGCCTCAAGTGTTTCTGTCTCATTTTCTCCACTGTTGCTCTTATTTAAATTATTTTCATCACACAATGGCTCCTTCTTCTTTATATGGCGGTCATATTTTGGAGGCTTTGGTTTTTCACCAACGGCTATATCCTCAATTACTACATGTTTGGATTTGCGTTTATTGGAATGCTTTTGGTCTGGTGATGCCTTTTCTGGCGTTACAACAACTTTACGAACATATATAGCAGTATCTACTTGACTATCATCAGCAATTATGATGTTTTTATCTGGAACTCGACGCTTTTGTCGTGGTTTTCCTGGTTCACTTGGATCGCGTGGTTTTCTTGGTCTCCTTGTCTTGCTGACGTCTTTTCTAAGCACCAATTTGTCAGGTAAATTGTCAAGGTTGTTAAGATCAATATCCAATTCTTGAGCGATAGCTTGGCGCGCAGCTTTTTCTTCTGCCAAACGTGCTTCTGCTAGCTCTTTTATGTATCCTTTCAAGTATTCACGATTTTCAAGTACTCGATATTTGAACTCATAAATAGACTGAAGCTTATCCAAGCATTCCTGACATAAGGATTTTGGTAAATCAGGATGATCAACTTCCTCTTCACTTGCTTTTTCATTTGATTCCTCTTCTGTATCTTCAGCCTCTGATTGTTCTGATTTTTGTGTCTTTGTCTCATTACTGGGAATCATTACATCCATTTCAATGTATTTGAGAGCATCCCCGATGGTTACTTTTGTGCCACTTCCCATTTCCAAGATTGACATTTCTAAGTCTAAGGGATAAAAAGTTTTCTCCTCCGTCGAATCAAGGCAAAAACGACACATCTATAAAAAACATTTAATTTTACACATGAATTTCAACATAAAACAGATCAAAAGTAAGCATTTTAAATTATAAATACTACTTACATCATTATTAACCATCTTGATTTAATTTCTGAACTTGTTTGAATGAATAATTTTAAATTTTTAATAAAGCAAAACAGCAATTTATTTTTTGGAAATAGTTTCTTTTAAAAATGACGCAGGTAGTTAAAGTTCCCGCAAAATTTAAAATTTACGTTAAATTTATGAGCGTCACTTTTTGAGCAAGACATGTGAGAATTTGAATTTAACGGACTTTGGAAGTGTGAGTTAAGTTTATTTTTCTTACTTTTTGGTGATTTTGTTTAAAATTAGCATAGATATATTCAGAACGTTGTTCAAAAAGGCTCAAGTGACTTAATAAATGGATCAAGTAAACAATTAACGATTCTAGATAGTCTTTAATAATTGTTGCACTATAATATGCTGCTTAGGGGTCGTTTATTTGATGAATTAAGTAAAACTTGAAGTTTTAGGACCTTGTCCTTTTAATGACACATTTTTTAAGAAATTTAAGCAAAATGTCAAACAAAGCTTTGAGCCATCTTGGTCTGAATAACAATCAGATTCTCCAGCATATTAGACTTATTTTATTCCAAAAAGAATCTAATCTGATTATTTATAAAAATACTAAAATAACTTCATCATCTCCATGATGTGATAAATATCCACTTATTCACTTTCTCTCAATTATCCTTTTCATAACATGAGCCATTATTGTTATTTTCTCTCCGTACGAATGTATAGATAGCATGGAGATTCCATAATGAGGTATATATTGAAGTGCACAGTACTGCGTGCTTAAAGAATTAAATTAAGAGTCAGTAGAGTCATTCAGTATGCAGGCAAGTGAGCCTGAGCAAAACTATATAAAAGAGTGTCACGCTTAATTGCCTGGAAGTAGATAATTTAGCAGATGAAAATGAAAATAGAGTGTAAAAGATTTACATGCCTGAAATAAATTTCATCTCGTCTAATAAATTATATTTGAATGTGGCACTCATAAAATGAAGAGCTGTTGTGGCATAAATATTATTTTTAGATAAATTACAAAAAAAATATTCAAGTTCTTTTAAAAATTGCCGTGCCACCTCTAATACTCGGTGTCTATCTATCCGTATGTTTTCGGTTTTTGTGGATACATAAAAATGTTCTCGAATAAGCGACAGAATTGAAAATTTTAACATTCATACAGTCCAGTATATGCTCTGACACACTCGTTCGACAAAGGCTTGACAGGTTGACTCACAGTCGATTAACTGTGAATGACATAATTTTACCTAAGTGCTCCATTGTCAACTTTTATTCATTCCGATGATTCCACATGAATAATTTCTAATTTGTTCTCTTTTGTCTTCTCTATAAAGTATTTATTGATGAGTTTATGTCTCTTGTTTGGAATTCAGGCATGAATGTATTCTTTTTTGAATGTTAGTGATTAAGAGAATTTTCTGCCGCTTATATCTCGAAGTCCTTCTTGGAATTTTTATATTTCGTTGGTAGGAAAACATGTGATTATTCGCGATTTTTTTTTATTTGATGCATTGATGACTTCTAAATGTTATTGCTGGAATATTTCGTCCTTTTTTGCTAAGACTTTGTTTTATAATTGTAACTTAATTAAATTAAACCATGCACTTTTATTGTAATAAAACGTTCTTTAATCTTCGGAGTTCGTAAACAGACTGAATATTTGTATCAAAAGGGGCAACAAACTATGTTACAATAAATATTATTCAAATTTCAAATGAACGTTATGACACGTTACAGCATATATTTGAGAATCTTGATTCATTTAAATGCATTTATGAATGAAAGACTTATCCTGGATTTTTTGAGCACAATTCCAATCAAACCTTCCAAAATTATTCATATAAAAACACTAATGCTACTTAATTGCCATTGAATCTACCATATTGCACATACCATAAATATTTCCATATTCAAAGCTCCCCCAAAAACATTCAAATTTGCCTTGACATACAGCTTAAAAGTCATTGATCTAAATACCAACAAAATAATTTTAGAGAATCCAATCAATCACAATAATTGACAAAATATTGACAATGATTACAAACATAAATTGAAATTACCACTCAATTATTAATTAAAAACTCAAGATTTAACATGAAAATTTGAAAAATCGATAAACATCCATGAAGCATGTCTTAATTTGTTTCTTATGATTATGAAGATTTTTGAAAATTTTCCACATCTTTAAAATATTTCTCGACTAAATGTTTTATTTAAAAATGTCTCTTTTCCGTAAATATTATAGTTGATGATGTTTCTAGAAGGCCGATTGTTTGGGATTAAGATGGAATTATGGTTGTATGGGGTCAGTTGTAAAGGAATGTGTATGATTATTTGATGAATTTACTGAAATAGGTGTACTAAAATATGAGTTTAAATAAAATTGATAGAGCCTAAAGTAGGGTGCCTCGGTAGCCGTTGAAACCTGGCCCTGAAATTTAACACGAAATTGAATGCTTGATGATTAAGATCTTCCCTGAATGGCACAAGTTGGTTAATCAAATGCAAATCCGGTGCCAAGTCAACATGACTTTGGCATCAGCTCCATGCTAGAGTCACACCGAATTGGTTCTGGATTTCTGATCGATTAACCGACTCGTGCCAATTGAGTTCTAAACTCTTCAAATAAATCAAGCAATTAGACATTATATAAGTCAAGACATCCAAATCTAGTCTCAAGTTCAGTCTAGAGATCCATTTATGCTCACAATCTAAAGTTCATTGCCACAATTCAGTTTCTAAAAAAAATCAATTTATTTTACCTGACACCACCTCCTTCTTTCCCTCCAAAAACTCATTTACAAAGAAGAAAAAAATCATTAATTGTGTAAAGATTTTTTTATATACAATAAATATTTATTTTATATTCTTTTCCATTTCTCTAGCTAATAGCTAGTGGGTGAGCATATGGAAAATATAAATTTTCATTAGACTCATTAAATTAATTTGATACACTCTTCATGAATGTCCCATTTTACGGTCACATTGCATAGTATTTATTTTTCCTATCCTCCTTCATTTCCATCCAAGAATTATAAATAGCATTTTATTAAAATAGATTTATTAATAAAGAAGATGAAAATTCATAAAAAAAAATTATAAATATCTGCGACAGATCAAAACAGAAACTTAACGAGCCTGAAAAGCAGTTTAATTTATAAATCATTAAGCGTTTAATATCACTTTTAATTGAAAGTTTGAGTTTCACGTTCATTCTGAGCTATTATTAATTGACGTCACTAAATTACCCTCTATTGTTGCTCGTACTCCAAATAACTCATACATCTATAGTTCCCCCAATTGAGAGTTTAAGGTTTTTATTTGTTTTATACAAAAATGAGAATAAAAAGATAAATGTATTGAGAGAAAAAAATTTATAAAATATAGGTGAGTACAAGGTGGAGAGACTATGACGAGATTTTCTTATCTATTTGGGGTATTTGTCCTTGCTTGCTATAATTCTCGATTCAATTCTTTTTTCGCTGTATTTTTCACGATTTGTTTTTCATTTTGGACCTTTTTTGATAAGATCTTTTTTGAGCCTCATAATTGATTGTTTTTTAACCTATTTTTAATTAAAGATTAAATGTTTTTTACAGATTAGATAAATTTCATATAAAATTGTTTTTGCTATGTTTAAGAACTTTAGAATATAGTTGTAGACAAAAATTGAGAATTTGGCATCGTTCTTTTATGACGTCCGAAAATAACGGTAATTTTTCAAAGATTTTTCATATTTTTCCAGGAATTTCTATTGTTCTTTTCCTTCTGACCTCCCCCTTTGGACGTCGTAAGTGAACTTAGGCATGTTTTAATTTCTGAAAGTGATGAACAAAAGTTGAATTATGACAAAAATGCTAATACACTAGCTTTATGTTTGTTAACATTGATAGATGTAGCTAAGAATTTTTTGAGAATCTGGAGGTTATAATTTCTTATGTTCTAAAGTTAAAGCAGGTATAAGATGTATTTTTGGCATTTAACTCCAAAAGTGTAACTCTAAAGATTGGTGAACAATGTGACATACAAATTTGACAAATATATCAACCTAATTAACCAGCTATGACATATTGTGCACTCAATATGGCAATATAAATTGGCACATAAGTTGGTGCAGTGTTTGTTAGCTTGCCGGCATTTTTTACTGGTATAAAAAAATGTATTTTATTTGAACTGGTTCAAACTAGCTATAATTTGTAACGATCAATCAGTTGATAACTGCTTATTAACATTCATCAATTTAAACATATTTCCCTTACAATTACTTATTTACAAGCCTAAGCTTTAACAAATTTTCTATAAATTTAATCTCACAATATTTCTCCTAACACAATAGTGTAAATTAATACAATAAATCTCTCTCAATATATGCTTAAAAGCTTTCACATTAATATAAGAAAAAAAACTCTAATTTTCTATAGAAAATCTTCAAGTTCACACTTATCAGAAACATGACAAGATAAATTCTGTAACAAAATGAGTTCATAAGACTGAGCGTCTCCACCTACGTCATGTGTAATTATATAAAGTCACAAAATGAGAAGAAAATAATTATTGGAAGAAATTGAGAAACTCAATCATCGATAATTGATAAAGCAAAACAGTGGTTAATGAGTAGATATAGCAACGTAGGGGAATACTGAATACTGACAATAATGATGATAATGATGATGATGATGACCGTGAAGTAAATATGAAAAACTGGAAAATTCCATTAGAGGAATAAAAAAAATTCCTCAACATTCATGTTTCATGCTGAATTAAATGACAAAAAATTGATCGGCAATGTTGCCAGACTTTACAGACACTTTAAATCATTTTATTAATCAAACTAGTTCGATTTTAATTTCATTATCAATAAATTACCGAACGAAGAAAATTAAAAAAAGCACGAAGTCTCATACAATTTGGAAGTCTTCCTTTCCTTTCCAAAAACAAAATGTAAAAAAACCGATTTTCTCAACAAAAAAACATCTCACCGTTCGGTGAGCATAAGCTTCTCATAATTCTCATTTCGAGAGAGAAAAAAGCAATGTAAAAATACGAAAAAACAACACACAACATTTATAAAAACTCATCTCTAGCTCTTATTTTGCAATGTATT